GGAGAGGTTCACAGAGAACTGTCTCCCGTGGGAGGGACCCCACGGCAACGCAAGGGAAGGACTCCTCTCCCTCAGCAGCTGCAGAGGATCCGGTGATGAACTGAGCAACCCCACACCCTGAACTGACCAACCCCACACCTGCACTGACCAACCCTACACTGACCAACCCCACACCCTGAACTGACCAAACCCCACACCCTGAACTGACCAACCCCATACCCTGAACTGACCAACCCCACACCTGAACTGACCAACCCCACTGACCAACCCCACACCCTGAACTGACCAAACCCCACACCCTGAACTGACCAACCCCATACCCTGCACTGACCAACCCCACACCCTGCACTGACCAACCCCACACCCTGTTCACCCCCATCCCGCTTTGCACTGTCGGTCAGAAGGGGGGAGGGAGTGGGGAGAAGATCGATGTCTTTGAGGGTATTATTTTATTTCTCATTCTCCTCTGACTTTATTAGTAATAAATTCACTTCATAACTTAAGTGGAGCCTGGTTTGTCCATCAAGCATTTCCTCCCTGTTCCTTATCTCAACTCATGAACCCCTTTGTTAATTTTTTTTCCTTCGCTCTTCTCTGCCCAGTGGTGGGGGAGAGCAAGTGAGCAGGTGTTGTGGGTGCCTGGCTTTCAGCCAGCATTCAAAACCACGACAGGCCTGTATAAAATACTTTTGTGTTGCTGTCTTTACAGCTGTGTGTAGACTGAAAACACGTGTGCATCTGTGTTTCCACAATAAATATTGTCTTTCATGCTGCCAGTGCAGCAGGGTTGCCTGCTCCAGATGACTTCGCGTGTGTTGTGACCCTGCCATGCCACACAGCCAAGCACAAACCYTTCCTGATCCAAATGTCACTCGTTAGCCTTTATGAACCCTGGGCCAGGGGCACGCAACTGCAGTGCTGTGTGCAAGGAATCTGCTGCCCAGGGTAACCAACCTGCATGCTGTAAGCTAATGAATTTGCTTTGAGGYGTAATTGTAAGAAAAGTAATTAATCTTGCTGGGTTTCACTCATCACCAAGCAAACTTTTGCTCATGAAGAAGAAAACTGCTGAGCATTCCAATTCACTAAGCCAGCCTCTCCCTGTTGGACTTGGTGAGTAATTGGCACATTGTCGCCATCCCATTTTCCAGAGCTTCCCCAAGAGGCAGCTGCAAAAGGAAGGTGTAGATGTCAGTGGGGAAGGGGGTTTTGCAGCTCAGACTTTCGCTCCCTCTCCCAGAGAAGTTCTGAGTTCGATTCATGCCCCAGTTTTGCTCAGAAGGGAAGGAGGAACGTGCAAAACAGCTGTCAGAAGGTTCCACAGSAGTTGTGTGTGAGATGTCCACAGAGCCCTGCCACTCAGCCAGTCTGAGTCAAGGATGAATTYTGTTTCCATCCATCCAYCTATTGTTTAAGCCTCTGCGATAGYGCAAGARATGGAGATACACAACACTGTGTAGCTGCCTAAGGGTGGTCCTGGCTAGTYTGGAGGACCACCAGTGGCACTCTCATCACTCAGGATAAGAGTGTTACCCACATTTCTGATGGTAGCCATACACTGAGATCTGGTTATTGCACTTTATTTGCCTTTCAAGGACCAGAATTTATTCCCTTAAGGGTTTATTGTAGTGATTCTTCAGGCTTGCTGCACAGGGGCAATTCAGTTTTGGGAAACATGCATAGGTGGTGAATGTATGTGATTTTTGTCACTTGGGTGAGCAAAAAATRCTGAGGAAACACAAACATTAACACAAAGGACAAAGAGAAGGATCGGAAAACAGGTAAAGATGTCCATGAGTCAAACAAGAGACACTCAGATGGCTACATTTGTTCTGCTCATCACAAATATCTTCTCAAAGTACCTTACTACTAAAAGGAGCACCAAGGATGAATATTTATACTTTGATCTCAAAATCACTTCTGGAAATGCAGAAGTTTTAGCAAAATGTTCATGTTTTAGATGCATTAAACTGGGTCTTTAATTACCTCGTTTGATTTACATCTGTACATGATAACAAAGTGTAGAGAAGATACTTTATTAAACACACATTAAAATATTAAAACTCTGTGCAATGGGGCTAGAGTTTGAATGTCAAAACACTATCAAAAAGAACCCTCTACMTCAGTATCCTGTGAAATGAGAAGGATGTGATGGTAAGACAAGCCTTTTSCACTTCCCTTGGTGATTTGGAGTGAGAAGCACTTCCATTCACTGTCAATGAATGGACCAAATCAAGAACASTGATTTTAGATTTCTTGCTTGTCTCAAAAGCTTTACATGGAAGAAACATTCTGCTCCCAATAGCAGTTGTAAAAGACCCATTTAGTGCATGGAGATTTTCATATCGTAGCAGACTCTGCATAGAGATTTTCATGTCCTAGCRGACTCCAAAAAGGGAAAACAATCTTCAAAAATTATGTCAGCCTTACACTGCAGTCAGGAACAGGTATGAATCAAAGGCACGGCAGAGGTCCACAACAGCCAGGGCAAAAATGGCCAAGGCCACGCTGTGCTGCAACCTCAGAGCTCCTGTCTGCMGGCAGGGCAGAGGGGAAAGTGCAGTGGAAGCAGAAAATAATGGCCCAAGCCATAGCACATGTTGTCAATAAAACAATGTTCTAGCTGTTTTACCTAAGCTACYTTTTTTTTTTATTATTATTTTTAAGTATCAAAGGTGGAGTTTTTTCAGTTTATTTTAGAATAACTGTAGTTGACAAAATCTAAGGCAAAGTACAACTGKAATTGCTCCCTGCACCATCTCTTGTGATTTTTGTAGCAGTTTGATGAAACTCAGCAGAGGTAAAATAATTTCAACCTTTTTGAGAAAACAAAACTTGCGATGAACCAAATGGCACACCAGTGCCATGTGATGCGGTGCACCTTGCAGTGTCGTGCCAGGCCAGCTGCAAAAATGAACCAGATTTGGAGCTTCAAATCTTGTTATGTAGTGCCATCTTGAGGTCTTGGGAAATGAAAAGCAGCTTTTCTGAGCATGGATAATTGTTACCTGGTTGCAGTTGGAGCAGTCCATTCTTCATGGTGTATGATGAGTACATTCAGCTGTGTTTGTGAACTGGAGAAGATGGAGATGGACTCACCTGGCTGGAGCACCACAGGCTCTTTCCAGGCACCCTGGGGACCGAGGAAGGGGGTCTGGGCAGCTGCCCCAGCAGTGGGGCACACAGGGACGGGATCCCCATGGAGGGGTACAGCCCAGTAGGGGTGGGGGTAGCAAATCCCCCATGGAATCAGTGTATTTGAGGGGACATGCCTGGTCCTTTGATACCATCCCCATGGCAAACTCCTAGAAAAGCTGGCAGCCAATGATGGGCACAGGTGCACTCCTCACTGGKCTAAGAACTGGCTGGATGGCTGGGCCCAGAAAGTGGTGTTGAATGGTGTCTCATCCAGTTGGGATCCAGTCACTAGTGGTGTCCCCCAAGGATAGTGTAGGGTCCCGTTTTATTCAATATCTTTATTGATGATATGGAAGCGGGGTTGAGTCTACCGTTAGCAAACTAGCAGATGACACCAAGTTGGGTGGGASTGTTGAWCTGCTGGAGGGCAGGAATGCTCTGCAGGCGAATCTGGACAGGCTGGRTCAATGGTGAGATCAATGAGGTTCAACAAGACAGAGTGCCAGGTCCTGCACTTGGGTCACAACAACCCCATGCAGCTCCAGGCTGGGGTGGACTGGCTGGAGCAGAGCTCAGCAGCAAAGGACCTGGGGGTGCTGGTCAACAGCAGCTGAACACGAGCCAGCAGTGCTCAGGTGGCCAGCAAGGCCAGTGACACCTGGCCTGTGTCAGGAGTAGAGTGGCCAGCAGGACCAGTGACACAGAAGGGAAGACTCGGACCACTCAATATGAGTTATAAGCGAACTTTGATTTATTGCAAACAATGTCTAAGCTTTATAGTGTACATAATTAGCTCATACATATTCTATAATACATATATTTCATAGGTCCACGTCCTAAACATCAACTCCACCTTCAATGATTCACTTGCCAATTTCCCTTATCTACTTCTACTTTTTCCCATGGCTAACCAACACAAGTATCTTGTAGGGAGTTTCCAGCGGCTTAAAAACACGATGTCCTTGCATTGCTTTCTTATTGCTTCAGAAGAATTGTTCACACAATCTCAGTAATTATTCTAGCTGAGTGCGATACCTGTACCCCTCCATCTCAACATGTCTACGTGACCCCTCTCAGCTAGCCAGCCCTCCACAGACCAGGGCACCGACTGTCCCTCTGTACTAGCCACAGGTGAGGCCACACCTCAAGCGCCGTGTCCAGTTCTGGATATTTGTCTCAGGAAGAGCATTGAAGTGCTGGGGCATGTCCAGAGAAGGGAAKTGGAGCTGGTGAAGGGTCTGGAGCACAAATCCTGTGAGGAGCGGCTGAGGGAGAAAAAGAGACCCAGGAGGGACCTTTTTGCTCTCAACAACGACCTGAAAGGAGGGTGTAGCCAGATGGGAGTCGGTCTCTTCTCCCAGGCAACTAGTGATAGGACAAAAGGACATAGTCTTAAGCTGAGCCTGGGGAGGTTTAGGTTGGACATTAGGAAGAATTCCTTCGCAAAAAGATGGTCAGATATTGGAATGGACTGCCCGGGGAGGTGGTGGAGTYACGGTCCCTGGACGTGTTTAAGGAATTCGAACGTTTAGTGCTATGGTGTAATTGGCACTGTGGTGTTCAGTCCCAGGTGAGACTCGCCGATCCCAGGGATCTTTTCCAGCCCGATGGATTCTGTGAATCTGCGCTGAAACGGGCGGGGGGCGCGGGTGCCTGAGGGGAACCGGGCGCGCGCTCCGACACGCGCCTCCGGGTCCTCTCGGCCGCTTCCGTGAGCGCTCGCGAGTTTCCGGCMGCCTCGGCCGCGCGCACGGCGGGAGGGGTGAGAGGGGGGGAGGGGGGTGAGCGCGCGCCCTGCCCCCCCCCCACTCCCCCCGCAGCTCCGCTCGGTGCTTCCCGCGCGGGCCGCCCCGGGGCGGAAGCGCCGCTCGCGCTTTCGCGCCGCCCGCTCGGCTCTTTCCGCCTCCCCCTCCGGGGCGCTTCGTTCGTTTCCGCGGCCACTCGGCTCTTTCCGCGGGGGCCGGCGGCGCGCTCGGCCGTTCCCGCCGCCTGCCGGGCGCTCGGCGCTTTCCGTGAGCGCTCGGCGGTTTCCGTGCGGGGCCGGGCGCTCTCGGCGCTTGCTCCCTGGCTGGCGCTCCTCAGTCGGCCGCTGCCTGCCTGTCGCCGGGCTGGGAGCGCCTGTGTGTGTGAGTGACGCGGCGGAGGTGTAGTTTGACGCGGTGTGTTACGTGGGGGAGAGAATAAAACTGCGGCGAGATCCCAGGCGCGAACGAAAGCAGTGACGGAGCAGCCTGGTAACCGGTAAGAGGAGGACGGCGCCCAGCAAACAGGGGCGGGGGGGAGGGAAGGAAATGGAGCCCGGCGGGGACCAGGGGAGCCGCCGGGCGGCAGGACGCGGGGGCCCGGCTGCGCACCGCCCGCGGGAGGGGCGCCCGCCTTAAAGATGGAGCCGAGCCCTGCAACATCCCCGCCGCGCYGCGAACAAAGGATAATGGCGGATGGGAGCCGGCCCGGCGGCGGCCGCCACGGCCGGGCGGCGGCGGCTCTGTCGGCAGCCAGCGGCGGCGCTCAGCGCGGCGGGGAATGGGCACCGCGCCCCCCGGCCCCCGGAGGAGGCGGCGGAGGAGACGACGACGAGGGGAAGCGGCGCCGGGAAGCGGCCGCGCTACCGCCCGCGCCCACTCCCTGCCCCGCCGTGTGCGCTCCGGCTCTCGCTCCCCCGCTGCCACCCCCCGGCCCCGCCGGGCTCCGGGGACCCTCCCGCGGGGCCGCCGCGGCCCCCCGCGCCCGCCGGAGTTCCGCTTGTACGGATAAACAAACAGACTCCCGCCGTGATGGACACGAGTGCATGGGGCGCTCCCCGGCTCTGTAACGAGAAGCTTTTAATAAAATCTCTGCTCGGAAGCCGGGGCAGCGCTTGGTCTGGTGGTTCGCTGTTTCTCCGTCTCCGGGAGGCCGCGACGGGCAGTGGTGCCGGTCACCCAACACCCCGCTCCGGGCGGGACCCGCGGGCAGAGCCCGAGCCCGGCGCGCAGGTCACGTAACCGGGATACGGTTCCCTCTCGCCGCGCTGCTTCTCCCCTGSTAGTATTTTTAACCCAAAGTGAACTTGAGCCAGGCTGCGGCYGATAAATCTCGGTTTGGGATTTGCTTTTGCCAGTTTTCCACAGACTTGGGTGCTGCACAGCGAACAGGATTTGACCTCTATCCCAGCTTTAATAGCAAATGTCAGCTCAAATGCCTTTTTCCACCTTACACCAGCCTTGCCTTGATGCAGCTGTGGGCCTTTTTTCCCTGTTTTCTTGCCTAGAATAGAAGACGGTGTTTTGACTTCATTCTACTTTCAAATCCTGGGTATCTGCTGTTTTGTGTACAGTAGTAAATAACAACGTGGCAGAYGTAAACTTTCTAAGCAAAGATTATYACACCTCTTAAATGTATACAAGGATGAAAAATTTTAAATGGTTATACGACTTTTCTTTACAAAACACTTTTTAAATTTCTGTGTCTTCCTCTTAAATATTGAAATGCCTTCTCACAATCTGCTTCTGTAATAACACCTGTCTTTTTTTTTTTTCCCTGGGGTTAGAGACATGTTTCCTATCTCTTAAATAAAAGACCAGAGACTTCTCAGAAATATCATGTATCTCTGTTTAGTTGCATTCTGACCACAGCTAAACACTACTTCAGAATACAGGAATTTTTAAACTCTTGCATTCTTTCCTTGTATCAACAAATATAGATCTATACAGTAAAATATGAAGTCACTGAAATAAGTTTTATTCAAAATGGGTGTTTGTGATTCACWTGTATATTTCCTTGTATGTGAATTTCTGTTTTCTGTCACTTTCACCACTTCTTTTGAAATGAAGGCCAAAGATGCTCTACATCACTTCGCTGAATAATACCAACATGAGAAGAGGGTTTCTAAAGTTTTGATTAATAGACATCTGAGCTGTYGATAGTGATTAAAGAGAGTGTAATTGTTGCTGTATTTCATTCATTCTCGGTTTGATGGAATACGCACTACATTTTAAATACAAAAATAGGACAAAAAATTCTTGCTTATTTGTTTTAGTAAAACATTTTATTCTGTTTCATAATAGAGTGGAAGACTCTCAGATCCATATTTTATAACACCGATCTCTGCATTTCCTCACCAGCTTTATACCCTCAGAGAGCAAAGGGAGCAGAAAGGTGGTTGTRTATTTGCTAAGCAGGTGACCTAAAATGAAATAGTTGCATGAAGGAAAGAAGAGTGTAATAATTTTTAAGGTTTTCATGTAATTGATAGAGCACCAGTATTCAGATTWGTACTCTCAGTATGGTGTCTGGATCTGCACTGAATGGTCTGCATCTAATTTTTTTCCTCACAGTTTTGGTGATAGGTGTGTCTGCTTTGGGTAAAAATAATGGAAATAATCAAAGAAGAAAATGCAACACAAAAAACATCCCAAAGGTCTAAAAGGGGGAGAGGGTTTGCTGATAGAGAAAATTTAGAAACATCTCATTTAGACTGTCAAGTCATCAATCTGGCAGTTTCTTGGAAACCTGCACCAGCTCAGCTATTGCTGTACAAAATCTGTCGTGGATTTTACCCTGCAGACTAGCTGTTCTGCTGCAGTAAGAAGCAGCCTCTTCCTGCCTRAGTGCAGCTGCAGCTCCATAGGTGCATATTTTGATAGCAGACAAGGCCCCAACTTGGAAATTCTGTTGGCACCATTTTGAAACAAATGGGATATTCACACTTCACCTCTATTTTTAGAACTCTGGAAGCAAGTGGAGATCAGTTAACTCATGCCACACTTCTTAAGGCTTTTGTGCAGTGAGAAGGCCGTGTTAGCTTTCTGACACTAATTTAACTAAAGTTAGTTTCATGGGACACAACAACAGCCCTCATCTACAGAAACAGCCCTACTCAATTAGGTTTGAGCTCTCTAGTACCCTTGCCTGCACACAGTTGAAGTTTCTTGACAAGGCACTGATTTTTTTTTTCTCTGAATCAAAATTGTGTTGCCTCATCTGCAGTCTGTGAGGTCATATTTCATAATTATTATGAAAACCTGAGCAGCCTGCCGCTAATGATCTATGTACATCTCCCATCATAAAGGCATTGACAGCTATTTTGTTCTTCAAAGCTTTTAGATCACTTGATTGTTCTGCAGTTAAAAAAGGTGAGTGAGAACAAATGTAACACCTTTGGGTTTTCCATATTTCAGAAACAGCCTTGTCAGCTGTGCAGAAGGTGAAAATGTGCCAGGCTCTAGTTGGCCTTTCAGGTAAAGTAGCACTTGAAAACAGCAAGAATTGTCTGCTCCTGTTTTTGTCTGGCCCTGCTGGATTTATAGCATTATGCGTGAAGTGGAAAGAATAGAAAAACTCAGTGTTGGAAGAGCCACTTTAAGGTGAGAGGATAAAGAATTTRGAGAAGTGTGCTCCTGTTTAGATGCACCTGTGTGGTTTATCTAACATATGTACATACAAGTTTGAAGCAGCACTGACACTTGTTACTCAGAGTGATTTTGAGTAGAGTGCAGAGACGTACAGGATATTATCCTAATATAATAAGCATTCTATTTTTCTCCGGAGAATAATATTGTGAGGTTTTATACTTGTAGTAAATCAAGGCCATTAAGTGAAAGATGGAAAAATAGTTCCAAAAATAGGAGTGTCCTGCCAGTTGCTGTTCTGCGTGTCTTTACTTTTCAGCTGTRCTCTGACAGGAGAATGCACTGACTTCTGGAGACATGGTTACAGGAAGCCTTTCAGGGAGCTATTTTGAAGCTACCTTAATGCAGAAAACTAAAATAAAAATCTCTATCCTTGATGCTTTTACTCTTTTTGGAGGGGAGAGCTAAAGTGATGTGTAAAAGTCTCTGTCCTTCGAAGTGTTTTCAGTGATAGTTTGGTTGGTCAGTGAGGTTATCAGGCAAACTTCCCTGCACATGGAATAACTAAAGGTGGGTTGTATTTTCCTCTTTTTCAGGTAGATTTCTAAACTTAGAGGAGGTAGCCTAAGAAATCCAGGAATTCTTGAAGCTTATCTACTGGCTGATGAACTGAAACCATAGTTCCTAATAGTATTTTTTGGCACTGGTCAAAGCATCTTCCATGTCTTTTCCACTGCGCTGGCAAAAATGCTTGGACTACTGCATGGGGAAATGATCCAGCTGGTTGAGGGGTGTGGAGCCTGGTTCTTTTTCACCTGGATCATTCCCTGCCCTGGTTGCTGCATGGCTGCACAGTAGCTGTACCAGTGTAATCAGGGGGAGGAATCAGGCTGGAATGAGTCGGGAGATAAGGGCAGCTCAAGCGGCTSTGCCGCTGAGAAAATGCAGCCTACATAAAAATTTGAAATTATCRCTGTGTTTGTAACTAAACTGGATGATACAAATCCTGCTGGGGTTCTTGCCACTGAGCTGAATCATTCAGCTAAGTTTAAGTTCTTACATGTGTTAACCATGGCCAAATGAACATGAACAACAGCTGTTCCCAAACTTCAATTTCATGTGTTCATACTGATKGTTGTGCTACTTATTTACTTGGCTTTAATACCTTTTGTGTGTTTTTTCTTACAAGTTCTCTGTGCACTTTTTTTTTTTATTCTTCACATTTTAAGTTCTCCCTGCTTTTCTCTACCGTTCTTTGCTGCAATATTTTATTTGTCTCCTCAGAAATTCAACAACCTCCTGTGACATTTTGGGTCCAGTATTATATTCACTTTTCTTACAGGTGCTACCCTAAATCTCATTCTCTACTGCTATTCCAGTATCAATTAGATTTTGCTTTCTCTTGCACCTTTCCTGGGGCTTGAATGTCAAATCTCATCTGTAAAATCTCTCTCATCATCTTTTATACCCCATTAAATAATGGATGGGAAGCAGTATTTTCTTGCCCTTTTTTTCTGATGACACATCATCTGGCTGTGTGTAGCTGGCCTGGCCTCAAAATCCCCTGGTGCCTGTCCATTCCTCCAAGTGGCATGCAGTGTAAGCAGGATTTGTAAATTTACACCTGTGTGGATTGTAGTGAGCTTGCTTTCTCTTGAAAAAAAATAAACCTAGGATATCACGCTAGATGTAGAACCCCTGCCTTCTTTGTGAAACTCACCAACATTTTTCTTTTGTGCTGATAGGAGAATTCTGGGAGGTAAAAAGGGAGGGAAGATGTGGAAAAGAGTACTGTATACTAACACCGCAGTATAACCAACAGCATACCGACAAAAGTAGTCTGTTGCTGTGGTTTTGTYTGAGCTGATACAAAACTGTATTTGGCTCTCAAGAGACAGACATCTTGTTCTCTCCTCTCCTGCTCCTGGTTGTGTTGGACCATCCCTTTACATTGGCTGTAGTGTTGATTGTATGTAAAATGTAATAAGCCAGTTCAAGTTACTAACCCAGGAGAGAACTGCTTGTTCAGTAGTTTAATTTTCTCCTGCATGAGTAARCTGAATTGGTTGGTGATTGAGATGCTGTTAGCACAAACACCAGTGCAAATTGGCAGAGTATCTGTAGGGAGAGGAAGGAGGGAAACACAACTTTCTCCCTTCTGCAGCAGAGAGCTGTKTCAGCAGATGCATCTTGGGGAATGRCAGCATATCCATGACTTGGAGCGAAAGAAGGAAGAGTTGGGCTCTGTCCACGGAGATCAGAGCCACATGAGTTTGTCTTTGCAGCTAGGAAAGCTAGAACACAGTAAGTAGAAGAAAAAAGAAACAAACAAAAAACAATGTAAGAGGAAAGTTTCCTTGTWTTAAAAGCCTGGTGATACCTTTGTGATTGAACTAACTGCTCCTTATCAGAGGCAGATTTCAGTCTTCTCAAGAGGTTAGATCAGTTTACATCTTAGGTCCTTTTCACTGTGAGGAGCCCAGTCAGCTGGGGAGAATTATATATAACATGTCTTTAGTGAAGCTCAACTGGAAACAAGAAGTTCCAGAAGGGGTCCAGGTCCAACACTTGGGTATACATCCTGTGAGTTGGCCCAAAGCACCAGGGCAGTGAGCTCGCTGTAGTTTCACTGTTGCTACAAACTGATAAATGCATTGGCCTGTCTTCCATATTGTAAAACAATTAATGGTGGCCAAAACTACAGGCATGAAAGTTGTAGTGTAAATTTAATGTRGCAGGTGTAACTAGTGCACGTTTCCCTGAGCTGGGGAGAGGAGGAAGTGTGTTACCTGCTGCAAACAGCTGCTTTGTCAGCACTATGACTGTATGAAAAATGCATCTCTGCCCAGTTCTCAGAAAGCTAATGTTGACTGTGTAAAAAATAGTCATCCTAAAATAGTCACCTTAAGCAGAGTCATCAGAACAACAGTAATCAAATTACAGAATATAGGTRTTTTCTCCAGCATCTTTGTTGGCTTCCCACAGTCTTGTGACACCTCTACCCATGATTTGCTCTACTTTGCTTTCATTGACAGGCCTGGCTGCAACAGGGTAGACTCTGCTCCATCTTCCTTGTTCCTGCTCCTGTGCCAGTAGCACCAGTACGGCTGCCTGTGAACTGGATCAGAGAGTTGGTCCAGGCTAGAAATTTGTTGTGTTTCCTTGTCTGTAAGTGCAAATTGGTTGCTTGGTCCTATTTCCTACACAGCTTTGCAGACAGATGTRAGGGTGTAAATAAGAAAGGATTTAGAGGAAAACGGAGCCTGAGTTGGCAGTGCTGCCAGTGGAAATGCTTGCAAGACTGTAGTTGCAGAATGCAAAATGGAGATTTTCTTTTGGTGCAACACACTGATGTAAAACATGGATTCTGTTTGTTTCTCTGGCCCCTGTTGGTTCATCTCTCAGTGGCTCCCGTTGCTTACTTGGGGTCATTGCTGACTTTGAGCATTACCAGCAAATCACACCCCTGTTCCATGGGGATAGTCATGTTGCTCACAGGTAATGCAGGTCTTAATCTCCAGTTAAGTATTTGAGAAACAAATTATTCTCTGTTTGGGGATGACAAATCTGCRGAGTAGATCTGCCTAGCAGACATATGATAAATCTTTTTCCTTTAAAAGGCTCTCATGTACTGCCCAGGCAAATTTAAAAAAATGCATGAAAAATAAACCAGAATCTACTTGGTTGATAACATTAATTCAAATCATTTTACTACAAAGTTTGACTGTTTCAGTTGGCTTTTAGAGAGAAGCTGGGTCATAGATTTAATTTTGGTGCATTAAGCAACATAGTCAGATCATGCTTCAAGAGTAGTGCTAATAGGCCAAGCAACAGTGTTTTCAATAAAACTAATAAAGCCAGAGAAATTTTAGGATTTTAAATAACAGTTTCTTAACTGAGGTTTAAGACCTAGATCTTTAATTTCAATGTTGCAATTAATTTTGTGAATAGGATGCATTCAGAAATTGGACGGGCAAGGTTTTGTAAGGAAGTGCTGTTTTTCTTGGGCATACTCTATGCTTGCACTCCAACCTCAGAAAGAATTCAAAAGTTTTTACTTCCTGGAGAGCATTGAAGCAAAAAATACTCTACAGTGTCTGTTAAAAGTGAAACAAAGTTTTTAAATCATAAAAAAACTATGATGCTTTCACAAATATGGGTATTTTAAATTTWTTTTAGATATTTAACTTGATATTTGGCAATTGACAGCTTTGTATGAATAACTCAGTCTTCTTTCAGGTGACCATTTCTAAAGATGCTCTATTAATAAAGCAATGTAAACATTGGTCTGAAACATCCATTTTGTTGTGTTTTCTTTCTGAACTCATTAGAAGTGTTCTGGCTTTTTTAAACAAGACTTTCCAATATTTACCAAGTTACATTATGCTTTTGTACTATGGTTTGAACTCTAGAAATCCCACATATGTTCCAAGCATCAAACAGAGTGAGTACTGTTGGTTTTAWTTGTTTATGCCTGTCAAGCTTGCAGCATAAATATCTGAAGTGACATTTTTTATGAATTRGTGCTTTAGCCACTGACATTCAGAAGTGTTCTAGAAGCATTAGCAATGGAGCTGTCCCTTCTCACCACCAGACAGAATCTCAACAGACACAAATTCTACCTAAAATTCTCTTGTCATGTTTAACTGTACAGCTTATAAATACATGAAACTCYATGCATGCCCTAAGTTCCCCAACTGATTTGATAGTTCTCTGTAACACCACAATGATGTGAAGACAAATGTGATCTGTGTCACTTTGGGATTCCAGTATCTGTACATTTTCAGTGTACAGTATTTTGCTGAGGTGACCTACATTATTTAAACCTCTGGGTTTTTTTAAAAATTATTATTATTATTATTATTATTATTATTATTATTATTATTATTATTATTATTATTATTATTATTATTATTATTACATAAATAAAACAAATAGATGATGAAATTCAGGTGTCTAATTTTGCATTTGAGACCATACAAGGATCTTTAAATACTGACAGTTGCTCTTTCATTACACGGTGGAAAAGGAAACATTTACTTTATTTGTGGGAAAGTCCCCTAAACATCTGGGACTTCCCAGGAGATTGGAGTTTCAGAACATAAATTTACATTCATATTACTTTAGARTGTCATATTTAATCAGTGTAATTGATTCAGTCCAGTCTTAAGTACTTTATTCTGATAAATTAGATGTGTCTATTAATATTTTCACTATAAAATTAACAGAGACTCTGGAAGCATTTCTTTGGAATAGAAAGATTACAGGTAATAATAAACATGTTTATGTGGTTCTCTGGCTTTATCACATTATTCCCTTAAATCWTACCTGGTATGTAATTTAAATTAATACAATTAAGGAAACGCCYATATGGAGGTGATTCCTTTTTCTGTTACAGGTCTGAGATTACTGTGTGTTGTGTTTTTGGCCCTTGGACTTGGAGCACTCAGGTTAACCAGTGGCGTAGGCCTGTGTAATGCTAACTTTTTATTTGTATCTTTTTATAAGTTGTTCCTGATCTGCTCAGAACACCAAAAGAGCGCTGGGTGATCTCGTGTATAGCTTCAAAGTAGTTTTAGCTTTGTTCACACAAKCTTTGTCACATACCCATTGACTGAGCCTGTGGATTTCTGTAGCACATGTAGAGGGAAGCCTGTGCAGGAGGCTTAATCATATTAAATACTCTTGTCCTAGCTTAGGATCATCTTAGTTCTTCACTTYAGGAGAGTGGCTCTGCTGAGCAATCAGTCATCACTCCTGTAGTTGTTTGCTGAGAGAAGTYTCAGTGGCTCCCTCACCTCAGGGATAACCCTTTATTTAATAAAAGTGTAGAGGCTCTCACTGCAGAGTTGCAGGCTGCCCCAGGCTTGGGATTGCAACAGTTCTTCCAGCTGGTGCCTCAGACCTGGAATGTTTAAAGGTTGTTTGGCAAGTGAACAAASATCCTTACAACATGTCAAAAGGTTGTTGAAATATGTCATGCAGCATTTAGGTGGTTCCTTATTCTGCCAGAATCAATGCAAGGCAGTAGAAGACCATAAAACGTAGAAATGCGTATGGAGGACAACAAATATTATAATACTCATCTGAATGACTGGCAGGTCAGGTGGAAATTTCAAGTTCCGACAGCTCTACCCAGTGGAAAAAAGGAACATGTGCACCTTCTTAGATGGATCTTAGCMTTGCTAACTTGGCACCATTTTCTGCTCTGAATACTCCTTTAATTATTGTAGTGACACAGTCCCCTTTTCTCCCTGTCATTGGGAAAGGAGAAGGTCTCTGCCCACTTGCAGAATTAGCTGTCCTTTCTGTCACTCTGGGCTGCCTTAGCTCTTCTGCTGAAACACCTTCACATGCCAGTGTTTGCTGTGAAAGGAAGTGRCTGAAAATGTTCAGCTGATTGACCACACAGGGTAAATGATGTATTTGGCATATCTAGATATCTGGGTGGTAGCAGAGAACTGTTTGTGAATTGCTCCCTGTGCAGCCAGGTACAGCCTGCCTCCTTACAAGGGCTGTGGAGCTGTTTCAGTGTGGCACTGAGCCGGAGCTAAGAGCCCATGCTGAGGGCAGGGTGTTCCAGCTCAGGTACAGGGCCTCCTTAGCAGAAAAGGTTTTTTTTTATTTATTTTACCCACCTCTGTACTCCTGTAACCTGGGCTCAGGCTGCATTCATGGGCTTTTACATAGGTGCTGTTTCCATCCAGCAAGCTTTCACCCTGGGCTGAGCAGAACCCTCTCACTTGGCATATAGTACAGATGTAATCATGTCATTTTTTAAAATAAAAACTGCCATCAGCCTGGTGTGCTCCAGTTCAGCACTGGAGTTACAAGGGCAAATACAAGAAGTGACTGGCTTCAGGTAGCTGCCCTTGCTTGGATTGAGGTCAGCTTCAGATCCTGTGGAGTCATGGATTCCTCACTTCTCCACCCACAGCTGTTCCAATCAAAGGTAAAATGAGAATTTGATTAGGGCCAGAAATTAAAGTTCCTCATGAGTGGCTATTCTGATTATTGGYTTGCTAGGCCTGTACCAAATACAGAGAGCCTGTTCCTGGAGATGTGAGGGATTCAGCAGGAGCATTAGCTCCCCAACAGCACTATAAATAATTTGATGCCTGTATTTTATGTTGCCTTAAAGATGTTTGCCTACAAGTCATGCTGTTCAGATACACTGTTGTGATGGGTTTTATTAAGTAACAAGCAGCTCCACGTGAGGAGGTGAGCCACAGTACTTTCTGCAGACACTAGGAGAAAAGAGGGAAGTATTTTGGCAGTTTCACATGATTTCATTTTTGTAAAGAGAAAGCTTTTACAGTTGGTAGGAATTGCAAGAAGTTGGCATAGGTTGAAAATTAGGTGATTTTTMTGTCCTAAAAATAATGTCACAAAACAGATGGTAAGCTGTAATRAAGTGCAGTCAGTTGTTCAGTAATTGAAATGCATAAATATGATACTGGCAATGAATGTGTTAAGAACTACAGAATGGGCAGAATTCTCAGAACTCTTTGTGAATAGATTGAATATGTTGGCCAGAATATCCTTAAAATAAGTTCAGTTTGCAGATATCTTTGGTGGGTTTTGGTTTTTTTTATCACACATATAAAGGTGTTTATAAATAGTTATCACAATTCTCTTCTGCATGTTGAGGATAACTGACTTTGAGCATGTGAATTAGTCTTTTAATACCCTAAGTGCCTTCAATAGGAACACAGAGCATTTATAAATAGAACATATTTATGGATTATGTTTTCAGTAATAATAATAGTTACCTAATTATTTTGTAACCTTCCTGGGATTTGTTTTGACATTTTGTTTTGTCTGAGTGGAGTCTCACAGTATTTTGGGGGCATTTCTGAGTGGGAAGGGATAAGACAGTGGAGAATGATTTGCTTGCTTTTCACTGTTAATGCTTTAGGAAATGCTTGCTCTGGTGTCTCCCCTTGGGCGCTTCTGCTGGACTCTGCAGAACTCACATATTCACATAAGACCTATCCCACCTATTAGATAAGGTTAGTAAAAAGGGGTGTGTGTGAGTTATATATATAAATATATATATTTACAGTTCTATATTGAACAAGAAAAGGCAGTATTGATTAAACTTGAATTAAATTATGTATAAGTRCCAAGTGGTCGCTTTTGTATTTATTCATATAATTTGTGATACA